ATGCATATGATATATAAAAGTATTATCTAAAATTTTGTGCTTTAATGGGGTGTCTTAAATGATTAAGATCTTAAAATTTTAAGTTGAAAATTTTGAATTTAAGTTTTAAAATGAGTAAGGAGAAATTAATAAAAATAAAAGAATAAATTTTTATTATATAACTTATAATTTGATATATTAAAAAAATTATCTAAAATTCTGTACATAATTACTCGAGAATTAATTATATAAACATATAAATAAATAAAAAAGTACTGATGGGCCAAAAAATTATAGAATAAAAAGAGTACTTGATATCCCTTTTACAATATAATTTCTTCAAAATTATTGAAAGAGTAATGCTATCGGTCCTTTGATCCCTATAACTTTTTTATTATTGCTTTCAAAATTTGATATTCTTTTGTTTTAATTTTAAGTCTTGTAATTTTTTATTTTAAACAATTTAGATTAAGGTATATTGTTTTATAGTTTAAATTATTTTAAATTATAAAATAAAAATTCTTTGATAAAGGAAGGTTTTCAATATCAAGGCTCTCATTTGTCAAAAGTTCAATATTTTATTATTTAAAATAGTTTGAACTATGAAATATTTTTTTTTAGATTATAACACTTAAATCTTTTAAATATTATATTTTAAACTTTGAAAATTCAAATTTGAACACATTAAGCACTAAATTTTAAAAAATATACGTAAACTCTTCTTCTTTTTTTTTTTTTAATGTTGGTTGCACAATGAGAGACAATTTTTTTCCATCTTTTATCTCACTCCACCTACATATTATGCGATTTGAACTTATAATCTCTTACTTTTAACAAAATAAAATTATTACTGAATTATTTAGATCTTTGACAAATATATATAAACTCTAAAACTGTGTAATATCAAACTTAAAAATCTAAATCTTAATATTTTAAATACAAGACCTTAAAACAATGTAAATGCTAAATCTTACAAAATTTAAACCCTAACATCCTTAATACTTAATTCTAAAAATTTTAAATTTTAACAATATGAATTTAAATTAATTTTAACTTAAAAAATAAAAATACAAAAATAAATTTGAATGGTTAAAAGTAGGGACAAAATAATAAATTTAACTTAAAAATATATATATCTATTGATACCACGGAAGTCGACCTCTCTCGACTTACTAGAGGACGGATACCCCCCCTAGCATTTTTTTTATTATAAATATTAATGACTGGAAAAAAATTTTTAAACAACAATATTTTTATGAAATTAATATTTATCAGATAAATTTGTAAAAAAATTAAATAAAAAAATTATTTTTAAATTATATCATTTTAATAAAAAATTAC